TTCTAATTTTATACGATTTCATTCATCAAAATACAGAAATATTTCCAGATAGAGAGAGCTTATATTAACTTCATACCGTACATATTATTCTTATCAAGTTATATTTATTTTCCCATTTTCATTATCATATTAATGTTTACGAAAAATAACACATCGAACCCGCAACGCAACATTAAGCGCCGCGATTGTGCTTTATTTTCTCATTTCGCATTTCATCAAGTAAATTCTAGCTTAAATTAATAATCGCGGAGTTAATAGTGTTTAAAATTGAGTGCGCGGTTTTGTGATCGATTTTAGTCGCGCGCCGATCGCATTAAAATAATAAAAATCCCTATTATGGCTCGCCTGTGACGAATCCTGTTAACCGCGATGCGTGTTTGCTTGAATCGATATTTATTATTTTATTTTTATATTCTTTCATGCGAGGCCTATATCGGGTTTTCAATAAACCAATTACACATGATATTGTAAAGATATTACCATCTACATAAACGTAATAACTGAAACACGCTCAGTTATGCTTATATTAATATCAAAATTACATTTTATATAAGCTAAATTGGAAAAATCACTCAAATTATTTCTAAAAACTAGTTTACACCTAGTTTTGTATCAATTAAAACACTTTTTAAATTAAATACACAAATATTTTGTGGCTTTTTGTACTTTGGTGTTACTATTGTTCGAATTTACATCTGCATAAGTCATGAACTTTGACAAGATACTTTCCATCGTAGAGTAAGCTTCAAGAAGACAGCATAACAGCAAAGCAGACAACAAGCTCCTCATTTCACTGTCCCTTTGCTCCTTTGCTTCTTCTCTCTACTCTACTATCCTCCGTCTTGTGCAACTCGTCGTTCGTTACCTCTTCACCTTCAAAAACGTAACTCTTTCGTTCTTTCCGCGAGACGCTCCGGGTGCGCCATATAAGTGCATCAAACACTGGTAGTTTTCTGTAGATCAACGAAGATCTTTGCGATCTGCTCACACGTCCACTTTCATAGCCATCACGTTTTTGTCTTGTTATTATTTTTTGCGTACATTTTCCATGTGTTCACATTCACAAATCAAAATAAATTAAGTAAAGCCATATTATGTTCAACAAATGTTTCAAAAATTGAGTTCCTGCTGTGTTTCTAAATGTTTCTCTCTATTTTTGGGGCGTTTTATAGAAATTTTAATAAAACTAAACAATTTTTAACATTTGTTTATTGTCTTATTGTAATTTATTGTGATATTAGAAGCTAATTTAAAATTTCTTTACTTTTGGAATTGGTGAATTTGAGTCATACTAAACTACTACCGGTATTTCTATAAAGAGACAAAGATATTTCAATAAGAAACTCTCCGAGAGCAAAGTAGAAAAATTTGACATGTTGTGACTCTGTCATCTTGATGTTGTCTTACAACTTTACTATGTATCTTGTTGTTGTTTTCTTCGCTGGCAGATTGTGACCGGTGCGAACGCGCGAAAACCCAAACCGCGCCAGATTTGGTAATGGCACAAATGTGTGTCCTTTCACGGTCACGCCGCGGCGCTCGGCATTAGACGCGTCGTAGTAATCGCCAGTTTTTCATGCGATCGTATGTAAATTATGTAATTAAACAGCGCTTAGCTCATGCCGTCCGCGGCCGTCACTCGCGCGCAAAGAAACGAACAAAAGACAACAAGCCGGAGCGGCAAACTTCAACATCAACGCGAATGTGTTAATATTGGTTTATAATGTACGCGCTGCTCATGTGTTGCAGAAAACAGAAATCCACTCGGACGGCGCGCGCCCGTCGAACGTGGGTTGATGTTTATTGCTTCGCTAATAACAAAATAAAGATTGATGGGGAGCACGCTTAGCGTTACTATTATTCTTTGAATACGCTGTACAATTCAAAGAAATAGTGACATTTTCACAATAGAAAATTTCACTATATAAAAATCTATTTGTTTAGTTAAACGCGACAACTTGAGACGTTTCGATCAGTCCCTTTCGCCACTTGGAATCCAGGAATGCGTCCGCCGTCGGGTCGTGATGTGGTCAACGCGCTTGATTGACGAGGTATTGAATTAACTTTGGTGACATAAAGCATTTCGTCCGTCTTTCATTACCAGCCTCTAACCCGTACATTGCGCTATCATCAAGTAGTGTAAAGTGTGTAGCAGTCAACTCAAGAATACTCAAAAATAATTAACAGGTCGCGCGTCGCCCAAGTTTATGATGATTGTGATCATAATGGCATAAAATTACAATTTTCAATTTCTAATTGGGATTAAATAATGCGCGTACCTACACTTGTGAAGTTCATAATTTATTATAACTTATAATAAGAATAAACCTCTTTGTACGCACAAGAAAGAACCGAATACATTAAATTCTATAGCATAAATTATGTTTTCAAAAACATAATTTAAACTTTACTATACTATAGCTTCCATTATGCTATTATGCTATTGTCAACCGGGTTTTTTTTTCTTCTGCTGCTTCTTTAAGTTGTTTGTTGTTGTTATTGTCGTCGTCTTGAATCTAATATGGCGGCTTTGTTTTCGATCGCGCGGCATTGCGTGCGATTACAGTTGCACGCATATCGCGCGCCATGACGCGAGGATAAGTACATCTGGTCGGACATCGTTTATTGTTTCTGTGTATTGTGTGGTACTCGTGTTTTGTTGCGTTCGCAAGTCGCGACCCGCGACCGGTAGCGCGATATGACCAGCCGCGAGCGCTTCTGGATTCGCCATAAAGGGCCGACATGTCCGCGTTGTAGAAATGTATTGGAAAACGAGTGCTTGTGCATCTGCACCGGTCGAAGCCAACAAACATATGCTCATACAGTAAACATACTGTTTGTCACGAATCACACGCAATAAAAATTTCAAAAATTCTTCTTCTTTACATTTAAAAATATTTGGTTATGTTGTTAGTTTAGCGCTAGCGCGCATGCGTATTAGATATTTGTTTGTTTTTGATAACAAACAGCATATCATTGAATTTGATTGAATCCAGCAGACTGCATGTCTCTGGCGGCTGGCCATTACGACCCGGCAACGATCAGATTCTTCGGCCGTGATGCGGCGCACATATTGAAACGCCGTCGGCCGCCGTCCGTCGGGAACTTTATGGCCCGCCGCGCGATTGTGAGAACTCTCGACTCCTCGCGAGTCCTCCAACAGGCGATTACTGTTTATCAAATCAACGTGGAACACACTGGACGTCGTCCTGTCACCGCAAGACGGTCGCACGGCAGCGGGCTTATTAATACTGGACATGATTATCCTTAATCCGAAACAACACATGTCCACTTAGCAGCATGGGCAAAAAGTGCGTGCAGAAAAACATGAGTTATACCAAACAATATCTGCCAATATCAATTACAATCGGATCTTCGGCCGTTTGAAATTAAATATCGCAATTAGCGATTGATGATATTTCTTACCGCGCTTGAAAAGGACGATGAGGTAGCCGCAGGACGAATGGAACAGATGTCGATTGATTTATTTATTTCTTTCGCCGCTACTTTGGCGGTTTTTGCAGCTTATTGGAGCTTTTTTGTGTGTTTTAGCAACATTCGCTTGTTTTCGCCGCCGCGTGCGGCAAAAAGCGCCGATCGATTCCGCGCTTCGCGTTTTTTTCTCCAGCTTCTTTCGCGCGGCAGGGAGAAATAATCGATCCGGCGATGATCGTTTACGCGAGTCATATAACAGGTTGCAATTATTTATGCGACAAATAAAAGTAAACAATGGTCGTGTAGTCCTTTGACCGGCCGAACGCTACCAGCTACAATCGGCGAAACGGCAAGAGAAGGTAAACGGCCAAACGCAAGATGCAAGCGACTTTCCGATTGTTTTCAAACGCGCACCGCAGCTCACAGTGCGTTTTATAGTGGTGTTTGTGTCAGCCGCTCCGGTTCGAGCTATAGCTGTGTGTTTTTCCAACCGCACATCGGAAACATTTCAAATGTATTCTATGAGTTGTCCTGCGACCGGGAGAACAATCGCACTTATGTTAATGGTACAACATCGACGGCACAAGGGGATTTTTTCTTTGGTTGGGAATTTTCAATTAATGAAGGATTATTGTGATTCAAGATTGTGGAATCAACTCCTAATGTTGCAATTTATATTTAAAATAAAATTATAATAAACGTTTGTGACAAATAATGACGAAAAATACGTTTTGTTACTTTTCTGTTAAAAAGTAAGTTTAATCATCATCGGTTACCTGCACATGTACCCACAGGTAAAACACTTCTAATTACCGTGCATTAACGCATTATTATTAGTAGTAAGTATAGTAATGTGCCTCGCTTATTACTTATTACTTTCAACCTCTAATAACACACCTTGTCAGAGTTCGCGCCGGACCCAAACCGCATATTTACTCAAACAGATGGCAGCGAATCTATCTCTGTGCACTTGTCGTGCCCGGAAAACTATTACGAACAATTTGCATCAAATGTTCCGATGCTATGCCAGGCACTTTGAGGCCTCCCACAAGGACCTCATGGGTCGCAAGACGATAACGCACTCCGAGCCAAGACACACGGAGGTTTTAGAGGTGTGATTATGGCCTGAGCGTTAATTGTTGACCGCGGCGCTAATTGATTGCTAAATGTGTGCAAACTCCACTCTACTCGAGAAAGCACAACTCAAGCCAAAAGAATGTGCAAACGCCGCTTAACAATCGTAATAAACAAAACCACCAGGAATGAAAAGGCAATATATTTCAACAAAACGTTTACGCATAGATGCTTACCTCTGAATCAAACAGCTACACATTTAATTAATTAACTCACGTCTTTTAATATTGTTATTTATAGCAGTTAATGTTTCCAAAATAACGTTCATTGAAGACCAGTTAATGACAAAACCACGAAGACAAAATGAGCAAATACGCGGTAAACTATACTTTCAGCGCCATCTAGTGTTCAAGTTAGCAACTAGCCCTGGCGTTAATCAAAATTTGTGTAATGTTGAATTTTCTTAAATATAAACTAAAACACAATATGTGTTAAGTTCTTAGTCATTTTATTATAACATATTATACACTTATACATTTGGTATCAAAACAGTTCAAAGTTGAAAGTCTACACAACTAATAAGTCCATTAGATATTTGATTACAAGTTGATTATAACAAAAGTATACACAAATATAATGATATGAATACAATTATGTACGTAGTCGTGTACTAAATGCTAATTATCACATTAGAAGTCAACAAAATTTACAAGCTACCAATATTATTAAAGCGTTTCAACTTCTCCGGGAACGGATCCTTGTACAGCACAGGATCAGCCCGAAACTCAACAGTCTTCAATGGCATCCTACCGAAAGCTTTCGCAAATCTGTCGACGCATTGCGAACGCTCCACCATGTGCCCCATGTCAGCAGATAACATTTCGTTGTTCGTACATTCGGGACATTTAAATTTCTTCCTTGGAGCAACCTAATAAAAACAATTATTTATAGAATTGATGTTTAAAAATACTTGTACAAATGTTATACCTTTATTGGTGGTTTATTAGTAACATTTGCAATTAAGAAATTCATCGCAATGTCTTCACAATTCATGTGCTCATCAACCCAATCTTTGACTTCACTCGGCATAGAAGTCGTGTACAAATAATTCCAGTACTTGTGATAAAAAGCCGCACCAGTTAACACCATTGAAATTTCGTTGGTCCATTCCGATTCGTACTTCCACGTGCCAGTGCCATTATCCCAGACGTGCGTTCTTGATGGAAATCCGACAATTCTATCAGGAAATTCCCGCCAGACTTCAAAACCAAATTCTAACTCATCAGATGTTAGCATGACAATATCGTCATCAATTGAAAGAATCGCTTCTGTTTCGATCTCTTCGTACGGGATGAACCGGTTTGATAATTTATTAGCTTTGGTTTTAATGAGATTTATTGGTTGAGAAATTTGTGGGAATCTCGATACTATAAGCAATTATAAATTAAGTTTTGATCATTTTCTTTTGTTATTAATTTAATACTTACACGAAGGTGGTGCCTTTCTCTGATGATTCCAAACGACTACAACTTTAGTTAAACTGGGCACTTTTGATAGTTTTTCAATTAACAAGAACAAACTTTCAACTCTGTCATATGTGAGGATGACCGCAGTAAATCCTTGTGATTTCGGTGCTGTTATTGGTAGAAATAGCGGATTTTTCATACACTAAAGAATAGAAACATTTAAGAACAAGGTTTAGAGTTAAAACAAGCAACTTACTTCTTCAGGACGTAAATTCCAATCATCATACGTCCTGCCCCACTGTGGGAACACTCTATCTTGAATAACATCTAAAGTAGTCCCAACAATCAACTCAATTGAAGCAAAATACTTCTTATATAAGAATTTAACTTGTTTTCGCATATGTTTTACTTTTTCAGCCGAAATTTTTGATAGCGTATCCATTGTTGAATAAATATAATCCTCTGGTATGAAAACAGCCGCTCTCTTCCAGTCAATAACATTACTAAACGGCAAAACTGGACTGTCCATAATGACCACCGGAATACATCCGGCCGCCATGATTTCCAGCAATGCAAACTGTCCGTTCCTTTCACCGCGAAAGAGAGTGCAGTAAACACTCTCCTGTAAAACCTGTGGATAATCATATACATGCTGAGTGTTTACATCGCAACGTTTCGTATAATTATGATTGAAACAGGCGTCAAGCAGTAGCAAATCTTGATGAGTATTCTGAAGCTGTTCCAGGCCTTGGAAGTAGAGAGCATCAATATTTAATTGTGATGAAGTTAACTTGTGACGGCGATTAATATGTGATTTATCCGAATTGTTATCATCAACAAGATGGCTAACTGGACTGTAGACAGGGATTGGAATATCGAATCCAGTCCGGATTGTAAATGAATCAAAATCTGCGCCGGCAACCAACGCATTTCCCATATTCAACTCAAGCAGAGATTCAAAATTGGGCGCAGAACCAGAGATCATATTAAAAATTAAATGGTTCTCACCATGATACCAACTAAAATTAAAAATTATGTTAAACAGGTCAATTGAATCCAATTTATACTTACAATGGTAAGTTTTGTAAAACTTTATTGGTAAAGTTCAAGTCAATATTCTCCTGATTAAGTGTATCAATTGATGGAACAAACAAGCAAGCCTCATTTGGATTAGAAGTATAATACTTTGACTCCAGTAATGCCTGTAGAATCTTGTAATATTCCTGTGAAATCACTTTTGTTGTTTGTGCCCCATCACTGGATATATAGTTTTTTAGTGGATAAATGTAAACTGTTATCCTGTCATGTCCTGTATGGCCACATCTGTACAAATTAAAGCAATCCCAATATGTGCACTTTCTATTCACGGGTCTTGAAGGCAGTGTGTCATCCTTGATCGTATACTGAGGCAGGGAATACAATCCTTTGAGTTGCACCTTCTCATAAGTTCTATTCACATCAGACTTCACATTGTAGACAATTACAATGACAATATAGAAGATTATGATGAATAGGAATAAAATGAAGAAGTTGCGATAGTTGTAGTGACCATTTGTGCGCGCGCTGAAGGAATTTTTCAGTGGTAAAACCATTTTCCAGGAGGGTTTCACTGATTTTCTTGCTTCTATTTACACATGACTTATACCACTGACGTTTGAGGTTATAACTCCAAAAACAAACAAAAGTTGGGAAACTTTTATTTTGATGACAATGAATGAATATAATTTATTAACTATGAACATGAAATAAAAAGATAAAGCATCAGTTAATTCAGTATTAAATTCTGTACAAATTTTCATACATAATTACTTCATTATTTGTTTATGTTTCAATGGAATAAAATATTTTCACTATGCTTCATTCTTCAGTAATTACATATTCTAGGAAGACAACATCAACTTATCATGTTTGAATAAGTAAATGATAGTTCAGATCAGTTTACACTGCGATGCAATGTTTGACGAGTTGAAATTTATTGATTTTCGTGACGCTGTTCCAGCGCAAGTTCCAATTCACTCCCACGCTCCTCGGCCCTGCTTGCTTGTCAGCTGTTGAAAGTGCATTTTGCATCCAGGATAAAAAACACAGAAGCCACAGGAGAACATTGTGCAATTTGTGAAACATGAATAACACGATTAAAATACCCGTCTACATTCGTAGATATGACTTATTTGGTGAGTACTATCAATCTATTCGTAGAAATCAAATGTAATGTTGGTAAATTTGCAGAGGAACCAGAAGAGGAGCTTCTTGAATTTGAGCTGGACCCCAATATGCCCTATGCTGAGTTAAGGAGTGAGATACAGTCTTATTTTAATATCTCACCGGAAGATCCAAAGGTCATTAAAGTCAGGAACAAGGATTATGTTTTGGTTCCTCTAACTGATATGTTGACACAATCTCGAGATCACAGGTAGGAACAAAAAGAACTTTTAAGTAGTTATTCCTCACTTCTTTTTTGTGTTTTAGTCCTTACACAATTGATGTCAATAAGATTACCAGAGCAAGTAAGTCCTGAGAATTATGTTTAAATCAGTTTTATTGATTTTAAACTTGATGTTTAGATGAAAGTAAAGTGAGCATGCTACATGATGCATACATCGACGCGGTAAAGCAAAAACTGCAATGCATGGAGTCGCGAATCTCGCAGGCAGAGGTCCTGCTACCACAACTACAGTGGAGCAGGCAAACTCACCTGGACCAGACAGTCAGCAAACTAAGCACGCGAGTCTCCTTCCTCAATCGACGCGTTGATGAGTTGATGCCGCCGGAATGGAAGAGCAAAATGCCCGAGACGATCTCATAAATCAGCAGGCAGCGTTCGAAACGTAATTAAATCTGCATGCATTACTTTTAAATCTATTTATGAAAGCTGCGGAAGCTTTACATCCTGACAGATACCAGTCTTAATGTCTAAACACAATATAATTAAATTATTAAGAGAGTATTTATAACAATATGATTGTTTTCTATGTAAATTCGGTTATGTAGATGCATATTCTGCGGTATATCATACATTTATTCGTATATTTTCTCTTTTACAATAAGTTTACAACAGAAATATAGTATTCTCGATCGTCATCGTTTTTATTTTTCTTGCATAGATGTAATATTTATTATTTTCTTTTATTTGTTATTCATTAAGCTTTGGTTTGTAAATATCTTGTCAAGTCTTAATTTGTTTTTGTCATCTCGGCCAATATTTTGTGTTCGATTATAAATTCACAAAGATTATTGCTAATACAATGTAAAATACAATATGTATACATTTTAAATCCAACAGTACAAAGTTTAAAACGCAAACGTAGAGAGCAGATTATCTCACAAATGTTTACAGTTGAAACAACAATCTTTGAAACCAATATTAGTTTTGTTCAAATCAGTGTTAGATTGCTGTATCATACTTGTACGAGTAGGAGTATCAATAAGAACACATGTTGCAATCAGTCGAAAAGTATCAAGTATCAAAAAACCTAGCATAATAGATGAGTAACAATTGTTAAACGCTCCTTCCAATGTAGTTACTAGTAATGATGATGCGAAGCAAAAATAAACATACAATATATAAAAAATATTGGTAACAAAATAATAGTGTATAAAAAAGGTATAAAACTATGTTAACATTACTTATAAATCAGTATCAAATCTATGCTTATGTGAACCAAACAGAGAACATAAAGAGAAACAAATGATTTTCGTCTTTGACTGTTTCCCAAGCACAACACACTCCAACATTTGGCAATCCGTAAGTATAGAATAATTATTTGATTTTGACAGTTTTTGGTTTCAGTTTTAAAGGAGATTCGAAATTCATCGTCGAATATAACGCCGTGGTGTAAGTAGTATGTACAGAAAGTATGTAAAGATATCCAAAATATGAGTGTAGACAAAAATTTGGCTTGCTTGGGATTACATATTTAAGTTTGTGATTACGCAGCAGTGTTTTTCATGAATATCATATTTGTCCTTGACTGACTGGTGGTAAATTTTGATTTTTGATACGAGAATATTTCTTTTTCATTTTTGATCGAAACAAAATGGCGTCCATAATGTTGTCATTTCTAGTAAAACGTTGTTCGAATACATATACTACCACTTTGTTGTAGTTATAACAAGTGAGTCTGTGTGCATTTTGGCACAAATGTCATGCATATCATTATGTTATCAATGATTAAGTGAGATTCAAACGCTGGATATTCAATTCGAATTGTGGGTGTATATCGATTGGTAATGCTCTTAAACGTTCACCTAGAACGCGTCCTAACAACTGTTAAACATGGCATATAGATTTATACGTTATGGCACAATAATCTTTAAATAGCTAAATATATAACTCTCTTATAGTACATTCAATAGAATTATGTATGTAAAGGCTAACATCAACCAAACAACAGTCCATACAATCGATTGGACGATGTTAACCTTTGAGCTAAAAGCGTCTCCGAATCCTCATAAATATATTTTTATATGTTTGATGAAAGATGAACGCCTCCAGCAGTAGTAGCGCTTAAGTTTTTTGTTTTTGTACAAACCAAAATATATTTGTGTGCCGCCATCGCCACTCCACATCAAACTCTAGTCAATTCGCGTCAATATCAATTTCAGTGTCAAGTTGAGGTATCCAAAATAGACGTATTCCATTTACCCTTCCCGCCATACAAAAATAATTCGTTCCCGCAACGCGTGCAACTTTATCTTCGGCAAACAAAGTTATAGATTTTTCTTTTGTTGCTTGTTTGTCACCCTGCCTCGATCATCTCACTATTCTGCTCAATTTGTACCTTAGAACAACTTGAAGAAGCAGAAGCATGCTGTGATTGATCATAAAAGCAAACGAGTCAAAACTTACGCTTACCGTCATTGTTATCGCTAAATTGTTAATTATTACGAAGGACTAGTCTACTCTTTATCGCAGCTTTCAACCACATTCGAAAGCGGATTAAAACTAAATTGTGTTTTGTTTGCTTGGATCGCGAAACGATAATTGGTTCAAGTTTGAGAGATGAAACTTAAATACTAATTAAGTATAACTTAAGCTTTGTAACGATTGTTACGATTGATGGCGAAGATGAGTATCGTGGCAAAGAGCATGCCGACCACCTCAATGAAGATAATACCAACGCCAACGTAAAAGCCGATGGGACCATAGAGACGAATAATATCGATGATTTTATCGCTGCAACCTTCGTGGTAGATGATGCGTGTGTCAATATCACCACCAACTTTGAGGACACGCGTGGCGTCTTTACAAGCTTGGGTTGTCACACCTTCACGGCAGCAGCTTTGCGGGATGGTGAAGTACAACGGGTCCGGAGAAATGGCGATTACAATGTTCTGATTACCAATCCAGTCATTGGGACGATCAGCACCACAACAACGCAACTAAAACAACAAAAAACATTGATAAATATATATATGTCAGATGCTTGATGCTATTTTCATAGTTTATGAAACATCAAACGCCAACACAGCGTGGGCGTTGTGCATGGGCATTTGTTGCGCTTCCACTTCCTGGCATTTCTTGAAAACAATAGCCTCTCCGCTATTCAAGTGGGCATTACGAGTATACGAGCGTACTTACGCCGCTTTGAATGGCATCGAACGTTGTCTGGCGACTCTTGACCTTTGCGTACTCCTCCGACACGGTCGTCTTCAACGTGCTGCGCACTAACGGTTCCAGTCGGTTGATGTTCATATAGCCCCAGATAATGCTCGACACTTGCGCGACGAAGACGATCAACAGGAAGCAGAAGAACTGCAAAGTAACGACCACTCGACATTAAGTAAACAATCGATGGATGATATTATGCATGCATGCAGCATATTAATATTAACTATGACTCATTGTGGATATTATTATAAAATGATTTTACTCACAGTGCAAAGCATACACTTGGATTCACGCAAAGCTCCACAGCAGCCGAAGAATGAAGTCAGGAAGAGCAGTACGCCAATTCCGAGCAGGATATACGTTGTGATGAAGTAGTTGTTGGCGTCCTGCGCCATTGAAATGTAGAAGGTCGGGTCGATGAGCATCCATGTTGCTTGAGCGACTATTGCTAGTCCTATCAGCTGAAAATTAATTCAAACAATGGCTTAAAATTGAAATTATATGCCTCTGTATTTAAACGAAATGTTAATTCACACTATAAGTGTCTAGAAACGTAGGTATCCTAGCCTTATGTTTATTAATTACATCCGCTATCAGTATACATTTAAAAACAGAAATATTCATTTTTAGCCACGCTGTTCACAAATAAATAAAAGAACACTGAGCAGATATTACAGTATTATATAAGTAGCTTCGGCTGAAAAGTAAAATTAAGTGTTTGATTGAATTGTGCTATAAATAATCGAAGTGTTTGGATGTTTGCTTTAACTTTCAATTTCAGTTTCGTAGAGAGGTGCTTTGCTGGGCTTTAAGCATCAGTTCTCTTTCGGTTACGCACCGGCCGGTAGCCGGTATCAATGCACAATGTGGATGTAGGTATACGAGTTATTTATAGAGTGGGTGTTTGGGTGTTTAGCTTGTGCCGCTTTGCATTCGCCAGGTTACAAGTTTCAAAATTCAACACTAAACTTCGCTAATCGTATATACAACATCGTAATACGGTATGATAGTATGTAATAAGAGTAATATACGTATATGCTATAAGTTTGTAAATGCTTACTTAATAATTATTAAAGGAACAAGTTAAATGTTAAAGTTTATGAAGAAAGTTTGAATGGAATTGAAATTTGAATAATTTGAATTTCAAACTATGATCGTGATATCATTACTGAAATTATTAAGTAAGACAATTTATCTTGGTAGGAGAATCAGGAAATGTGATGTCACCAATGCAAAAATATGCAAGAATATCAATGTGGTGAACCGCAACTCGCAATGGAAGAAAAAAGTATAAGGAAATATTAATAACCTAATAAATATAAATATATTAATTTATTAATGGCAAAATTAAGGGTGTGGCAAAGAATATTTAGTCCTGAACGCAAATTATAGTTTTTTTGCGCGTAATATGCGATAAATTAAATATTCAATGCATAATGAATGAAAAATGATGTCATTTTGGCTTGAAGTTATTAGAGTTGACGTAAGTATGTTTTAAAGTTACTTCAATGTCAAAAATGGTTTTAATTTCCATTATTTCTTTTAAAACACACTTAAATAAATATCAATAAAGTCATATAATAATTTAATTACATGAGAAATCATCAGTATTTAAATATTTGTTTAAAAATAAATACTTTTAATAATTTTACTCTAATTCGATCAAAAGTTTGTATTTATACAAAGTTTTTTCTCTCTTTCAAAACCGTCATTGTCACGTAAATGATATATGATATAACAGCTTATTTGTGAACATTCTATCATTCAAAGCGCGACTGCTACTGAGTAATAAGAGGAATTAATTGCTTTGGTGTTTGGCGCATGGGTAGACACATTTTGCACACATAGGTTGGCCACTTGGATTATTTTCAACATTTTCAACTCGGTTTTCATGTATGGCCGCTTGATGCTTGCTACTTGACCTCCTGTGTCATCGAAATATTTTAAGCGGTTGGATGATGTGCGAAAATTGCACTCATAGATGACTAATAATATAAGCCAAACATTTCATTACACTACAAAAATGTTTCGGGAATAATCTGACAATATAGAAATATTAAAATATATAAATCGTGATACCACTATTTACAAATCATTTTTTTCTGTCAGAGTGAAATTATTTTTCGTATATTATCACTTTTATGAATTATTACTGAAATCGTATAGTGACTTTATACAATTTCCTGTCGATTCGAGCAGATTTTGTGTGGGACTGCAATAAACTAGGTTGAATTTACACAAGTGGTCAGGATTTTATTACATGAGAGCGTAAGTTTGTTTAACTAAGTAATAAAATTCATCACATATAATAAAAATAAGAATTTCATCATGAAAACGCAGACATGAAAATAGTTTTCAGATATACCTAACTGTTTAAACAATATTTTATTATAAGAGATTTTTGAATTGCAATTTTTATTTTTAGTTTAACAACTGAAACTGTTTCAGACGATGTTAAATTAAACATAAAAATTGTAATTCAAAAATTACTAATAATAAAACATTATTTAAACTGAAAAAAAATAAATATAAATTATTTCCCTTCAATTTAATTTTTATAAGTAACCACGCAAAAATTTACAATTAATCATACAGATTAATTGAAAGAACTACTTGACCTCAATGTTGACCACAATATCAACTTATTATCAAATTTCATGCGCAAACAAATAGCGCATGATATTGAGCATTTATTGAACTAAAATTTCGCAGACTTGTTAGAAAACATTTTATTATTGTAAACAATTCGATTGAAATAGGAAAGGAAAATAATTTAATCTCGAGAATTTAACTATCTCTTCATATATGCGTAAATATGGCGTAACAAACTTTTTATACGTTGAAATTTATCCAGAATTGTTTTCCTAGTTTATGCAGCATTCATCAAACTGCAGATTCGCGTGAAATTTGAACTAGCAACTCAAGCGCCTTTGTTTACAAATAAACCAAATCGATCGAGCTGCAGCAGCCGCGTGCAGCAAGCAGCAACCCCCCGCGTGTTCCTGCGTCCTGCACGTGAATCCGGGACGCTACGCGACCGACTCGTGCGCATTTCGCAATGCCGCGCCAAAAACATCCCGCACAGCATCAGCGTCCCCAACCCCTAATCGACCTACATATACACCATTTTTAACTGCTGAAATACGGAGAATTGGAGCAATAGCAAATGAAATAACCTGCAGCCATTGCAACTATTGTAGAAATTTATTCCTTTCTAGTGAAATGCTACCTGAGTTGACATAGGTAAAGTTTATTATTGGTCTACAGAATATAAACAAAAACATGAAGTAACCACTAAGTAAAAAGTTAATATTCTACAAATTTTACGCGGTAAAAAGAACCATCACTAACAATATAGAAAATTTCTGAACAATTCAATTTCTTTTGTCATTTTTCAAAAAATAAAGGTACACATTTTGAAAACGTCTGTCCCTTTAAGTTAATCTCAACTAGCACTACAAATTTTCATATTCTAAGGCATTTACTAACCGTAAACAAGAAGTTCATAACGACGAGGAGATATTTCACGCATCCGTAACACACGCCTCCCATTTTGCTTCCTGTGTTTGTGGTACTAGACTGAGATTTTCCTTCTGTGTACACACACACAAACTTCAAAATGCAAGAAATAAATTTTTATATTTATTCCTACAACTTCCAAATCACTGCACGTCACTGTGTTACGATTACTGTGCACGAATTTAGAAGAACTACACAACAACACCAATGAAAATCTGCTTGTTGCGCGGCTCGCTTCAGGCACACAACTCTACAACTGCCTGCTTTTGCTGAACTGCTCTGAACTCGCACGTACCACAACACTTCTCAATTCTGACTGCTTGTGGCTTGCTTCACGGATTCACGGTTCACACTAGCTGAACTGGCTCGCGCTCGCGACTCGCGCCGTCTGTGATTGAATGTAGATTACTCGAGTCAGCCGTTCGCGTCCGCGGATGAAGCCGATAAAACGGATGCGATTGCAGACAGCAAACGGGACGCTCCGACTCACCATAAAGCAAACACAGCCGTCGAGCTTCGCGCAAGTTGGGAACTAATACTGTATATGTATGTTGGTAGAAAGAGAATCGAAAAACTCAGCTAGATAACCGACAGCGGTGTGTCGGAAATAGACTCAGTGGGTACAGTTTACACGGCGTGAGCTTGTAAGCAGAAAGCTCTGATCTGCAAGACGGTCGAATGTAACATTAGAGCATCGCCAGCAAAACAGCAAATAACACGAGACAGACGGTCTCCCACATTTGTTTGCTTCTCTGTTTAGCTCGGTTGGAACACGAGCGAGATAAATGCGTAACGGAGCTTTCCTGAAGAACGAAGAACGAAAGCTGTTAGAAGGAATGAGTCGATGATGGCCGCGCGGGTGCAGCCAGAAATCGATAAACGGCCATCCATCCAACGCGACGCAAATTGCCTTGCTTTCATTCTCACATTTTCCAGTAAATTATAGCAAAACTGTCCGGGCTAGACAGGGTCTATTATTCCCTAAAACACAATTCTATCAATTTGCGTTTAAGTAATGAAGCCATAACTTATAACCTCATTCGGTTTTGGATTATTTTTCGCTGCCATTATCCTTAATCCACTAAAACAGTCATGATTGATAATGCTAAGTACAAACCTTCCTTAAGTGATGGTTTAATCAAGACTCCTACCTCGTTTAATGATATATAATTGTTTAATTTGACTAAAAAACGATAAAACAAAATGAGCTTTTTCGATCTTTGAATTTTTTGAAGAGCGGGAAATATGCTGCGCATGCGTACATTGACCAACGCGCATTGTTAAAATGGCCGACGGTGCGGTCACTGGGTTTACGGTGTTTACATTGAAAATTATATACAATGTAATTGAACGAACATTAATAACGTCTCATTTTACTTAGGTTCATCAACAGCACACCGTGCTGAAGTGTTTTGATATGTGCGTGTCGAATGTTACACAGTGAATATGTCAAAAAACTGCAACAGAGTTGAGATTGAGGACTATGATGAGTGTGAGGAGTTGCTGGAAAACATAAATAATGGTAGAACCCGCACCACGTGTGGAGCCCTTATCGTGCGGGTTAATGAGTATTTAAAGAAGCCGCTGATTGAACATGACTTGACCGGGGTAGGTTCTTGTTATTGTAAATATAAGTATACAATGAAGACCTGTCAATGGCCTTGTATGTATAAAGCATGAGTTGTTCTACTTTCTCTTTTTTTGGCAGATTCTAAACAATTACCTAGGAGTTTTGCAAGAGTCTGGCATTTATATACAGAATGGCATCTTCAACACAAACTTTGCTGAAGCTGCATTGCTTTTGCAGGGGTCTGTACAGCTATATGGGAAGAAGGTTGACATGCTGTGGGATTTTGTCATTGAGTACCTGAACAGGAACATGTTATATGAAGAGTAAGTGTTATTTAATTAAGTTATATCATCTGAATTAAGAAAATTTCATTTCGTGCTTTATAGTCTGATAATTCTGAAATTATATAATTTATGTTTATTTGGTTGCCTACCTCGCATTTTGTGTTTGATATATCATATTGGGATAGGCAACACAAATATATGTTCCAAATGAATGAATATTATCTTTTTGCTAGGAAAACTGATGAAAATAAAGATCAATTTGAACTTCTCGAGGAACGTAAGGAGAAATTCAAACGCAAACGTAAAATTCTAGAAGAGAACGATGATGAACAGAAGCAAAAAAGCTCAAGGAAAGCTTTTGTTGTCGATAAATCCGCGGCTAATATTCAAGGAATGAACTTTGAAGATTTCCAGCAATATATGATAACTGACCATTCTTCCACTTCGAATCACACCACAAAGACATACGAAGAAAATTGGGCGGAACGTTTGGCTACTTCTAACGCGTCCATCCTGGACAACAAACTTCGAAATGGTAACTGCGTCCCGTCCGAAAACTCCCCAGAAAACCAAATGATAACCAACCTCAACAGTATTATCTCACATGGCAGCGCCGCTTTGCAATATGACCTAACAGAATTCAACATATACGGTGAAAGGGAACCCATGGGAGACTACGGTACATCCTCGTCTTTCGATCAGATTAACCGTGAAATCGCATCACAACATCGTCAAGTCCATCAGAATAATATACCAGACTCACAAGTAGCACGTGATGATGTGCAGGATGTTGTACTACAAAAATGGCTCACGGGGAAGTCAATGCGAGTTGATCAAGTATACGCAAAGTTGCAAGAATTTAATACGGAGGTTGAACTGACTTTGAAAAGTTTATACAAACTTGCAACGAAGATAAGTGAAGATGGCGGAGAGAGGCTGACTTGTTTTTATCAACAACCCGCCACTTCAGTAAGTCTGGTTGATGATAACAATGGGGATGATTTGATTGCGGCAAGAGAAAGCACAGAAAGTTCTTTGAGATGCAGCACGCCTCTCATTGAAAGCGAGATTAATGCCACAAATGATATTAATAAGGAACTGGGAGAGATGATGGAGAAGCGCAATGGTTCCATTCGGAAGACGATGGATAGTGACCTGGAGTCAGGAGTGTTTGATTCATGCAGTATTTCGACGGAGCAAACTCCAGTCAAAGGAGCATTGAGTGTCATCTCTGACGGCATCGGAATGGACAGCCCATTATCTCCGCAGATTGCAGATGATAGTCGAACGGCTTCGCCGGTAAATATAGCAACATTGTCGGGTTTTCCAAATGATGTGACTGTTATCGAGGAAGTTGCTACAGAGAAATGTGAACCGAAAGGACGAAGAGCTCGGGTAAGTAATAAACTTTAATCTTAGTTCAACTTATTTGATAAAAATTATTTATTTTGAACAGAAAAAATTAAATATGGATGATATGGATTTCAATGAAGATGTATTAAAAAAGCCCAAAAAATCACAACGTATTAAAGAACGCATGTTACCAGTGATAACTGCTAAGTTGGCAGACTTTACAAAGTTTTTCATCCAACATTACACACCCGCAGATGGTGAAGGTGAATTGGAACCGTTCGAAGAGGATTCAGATAATGATGAAGATGAAGTATTGGGAGATTTACCAGATTTTGACGATTCCGCAATGGAGACATCCATGACTTTTAACACTACCGACGTATCCACATTTTCTGATTCTATTAATGTCTCTTCAGAGGAAATCCAAACCGACACAACACCGATAACCGCTAATTCACCAACGAATGAAACATCTTTTGCTGACATCATGTGTAATGATGCAGCAACACGTCTGAAACATGTTCTCGAGTGGCGTAAGTTTATCATGGAAAAGATCAGCAAAAAGAAGTCGGATTTCGATATCCATCAGGAGGAAACTAATATCATTGAGAGTGTTGGTGAGGTGGGTAAGTCTGCGAAGTATCGCGACATGTGCGCTGGTAAGACTTCTGCGGAAGTGTCGCATAATTTTATCGCGATGTTGCATCTGGTCAACACGCATAACGTAAGCGTGAGTGGAGTTAAAGCGGGACGGTTGTCAGACGATTCATTGGAGATCAAACTTTTGTCTACGGATAGGCATCATGAGCATTTAGACGAGTACAATACTTCGACCGCTGAGGAGATGCAAGAGAAGATGATTTGTATTAATAAAGCGCTCAAACGACAGAATAGTGCTGGTAGCATGCGCAAATCGTCGAAAAAACTAAAAGTATAAAAGATCTCGAAGATTGTATATATTTCCAGTGTTAGCTGTAAATATTTTATAATCATTTTGAAATGTACAAACATTTATCACACTAAAACGTTTTCAATGATTATACATAAAATATTTCAAACATTGAAGACGTTTTCCGTTAGATTGATAGAGAAACTAGCAGTAAGTGTTTGTAAATTAAGAAATTTTCAAAATGTAAAGGATTTTCAATGATTCTTTTCAAATTAATGTTGAAATCAAGTTAAATTCTATTCAATAATCGACACTTGGTCAAAAAAAATGAAGCATTATCTAATCGTTTCGACAACTCATACAAAACCTAACATTGTAGACTCTTATTGCTTTATACTGCCTGCATTTTATTTATTATACCATTTTTTATGGCTTTTATGTATGACCATGTTTATATACACACATACTTCATTCATTTATAGTGAAAGAAAGCTTTATTAAAATCAAATCTTGATCAAGTGTGATTATATTCCGAGTTTCACGTAAATTTTAAGGACTCTTGAAGTAAAATATTTTTGTAATGAAAGAATAATATACTAAATAATAATGTTGCACGTATTTTGTCCAATTCAAACACATTTATGGTATACATAAAGAGCACTCTAGTGTGCAACAAATTGCATTGAATATAATTATTATTTTGTTGTAGGTTATTTCCATTCCAGCTAATTTAATTTTATTAAACTCATCTGAATGTAGCACATACAGAAACGGATTCATCAAAATTGTATAAGAATGTTTTAATTTATGAATGTATGATTAAATTTGTTGTTGAAGCAATGGAGCACTTTTCTCTTTTTTTAATTTAAACTAAAGTTATACCTGTGGATGTGGGCAAAAATAATTGGCGCGGACACAAATATGAAAAGCAATTCAGTTGGTAAATTAAGAAATAGGTTTATTTTTTAATTTCAACCACTAAACTTAGCAATAGTATGTACGTGGTTTGCGAACTGAGAAACGGTTCATACCCTTGCGTTGGATGCGTTTCGGCAATGGGAACCTAATCGTTGAATCATGGAACTGTTTCACATGTGGCCTTCTGCAATCTCCAGCCTTCACTTTCTCAACCTTAATAATCTATTGACAAACAAATGAATATACAATACATTAGATACTTCTTCAAAGATGTAGAAATTATAGCTTTTACCTGGATTGAATGAGCGCGAGCACGATGACGAGCACCCATATCTCTGTAGCACTGAGTAACAGCACCGGACACACTCAAGTCGCGGTACTCCCTGTACATGTTGTGGGTGCCTGAGCGAGAGTCGTAACGCAGCCAGATACCGAAGTTCTTGATTTTAACCGGTGTCTTCTCGTGGATGGGTTTCACGTTGACAATTTCTCCGGTGGTCTTCTTGAACTTACGCAGCTGTCGCAAGAAGTACCAGAAACGCGACTTGGCCACGATCTGGTCGGGCGCGAAGATGCGCATTTTGTACAGAGGAGTAGTCTTCTCCTTCTCTGTGGGCAATTTGCGCCCGATCACTTCGAACTCCTTCAACTGAAACACAAAAACACCATTAGTACTTACATTGAAAGCGCCATAATTTGTGTTGCTTTGGTGAGGTTTTATGGTTAGGACATCAACACGTGTAACAAGCGCTCAAAAATCATTCAAAAACTCGACTCGATCGTCAAGGATGGTGATAAATGGATGCACATAACTTCCGTAGTTACTTTGCGGATAGTTTTCGCTTGTTTTAGTGGCTTAATTCAAGATTATTTAGTCAAAAATTGGAGAAACGCACCTCTCCTTTTGCTTTCATGGCTGCGGTCTCGTTAGAAAAGGAACCGGAAAGTAAAGGCACGCCATGAGCTAAAATTTAATGTCAAAGCAAGCGCCCTCTACACATGTTTTCTGTCACATTCAAATAACAACATCTCTGAAGTAAAAATACTCACTGAAAGCAAAAAATTATATAGTTTAATAGTAAATACGTTAATACGCCATATATTATTCCATTAAGTATATCGTTTTTGATAGAATTCGCCCATTTTTCTTTAATACTAAATAAGTATATGTGTTATAATATTGTGTATTTTAGGTTGACTGAATCGCAGGCGCTGCTGCTGCAGTCCGTCAATAAACGATTGAATCTGCTGCCTGGTATCTCTTGCAGTTCTTTTAAGAAAAGAACAATTGAATAAGAAACAGGATCCAATAAATAATTATGGCAATTTGGAGTGCACTGCGCGCGCTCGCAGCTCGTTCTTCAGTGAATGCTGGTGTAACAACAGGTAATTCAGTAATATTTCAAATTATGTAACAATCAGACCAGAGGGTTATGTTTTGATTTGTAATAATCCTTTTTGTCCTTATTATGATATGATATTTGAATCCATTTTTTAGTTGCAAAGAGAGCAATGAGCGGTCACGACAGAACCTTTGCGATAGAGCCGAGTAGGTGGCAATGGAACAGGTTTAAGGATTATTTTCATTATTATTGTATGTTGGGCCTCATCCCAGTTGGTGCTGTCATCACCCTTACCAATGTTTTTGTTGGACCTGCTACTCTTTCTGAAATACCTGAGGGATATACTCCAAAGTATTGGGAATATTACAGGGTATATAACAAATTATACACACTCTTGAACAGTTGTGATTTCTCTACATTAGGCATTTTAAAGACACAATTTCATTATTTTAATTTTTAGCACCCAATATCACGTTGGATCGCCAGGTACATTCTGAAGAATCCGCAAGAAGATTATGAAAAATACCTGCACATGATTTTTGAGGAGCAAGAGAGACGTTTGATTAGGAAGCTGGAGGTGGAAATTAAGGAGAAGATGAAGGAGAGGCAGGATTACCAGGCCTACTACTACAGACCAATTACAGCAAAGTATCACCGCGCCACGAGGGACACTGCCGAATATTTGGACACTGTTCGCGGTGAATAAGTCGTTGCATTGTAGTTAATTTCAAATAATGTTGATAGAATTGTATTCACAATATATAAATAAATTAAAATAAAGAAAGCAATAACTGCATCCCTTATTGAAGTTCTTAAAATTTCATCGTCCTCTTTATCTACGCTTAACCGAGAGCAAAGAGAGGAACCCCCGCGACAGGACTCCGGGAAGCACCCAATGCTGTGTTTACTGCGCGCTGTCTTTTAATTCCTTCGGGCGACCTGCAAAAAGTAGTGGGGTAGCGGTACAGTGGTAGATCGTGCGCAAGGTGGAATATGTGGAACCGTGCAAGGTAGGGAAATAAAAAACTAGGGGAGAGGGAGTTTTAGACGCGTTTGCAGGTGTATATATAATGTAAAACTATGTTTCTTATGCGCAATATTGTTACCAATACACGAAAAAAGTATTCTTCTGGCTTTTCTGCATAAGAGTATACAATTAAACAGGTGCGATGTTTCATTCAAAATTCTAAGAAAGAAACAGCTTTGCAAAACTTAATAACCGTCCGATTAGTTAGGTAGGCTATTCATAAACCTATCATTATCAATTACTTTGTTTGCATACCCATTAAACATGGAATTTTGCACAATTTTGCTGTTCTTATTCCCACATTAATTACAAGTAGCTAAGCATTCAATTCTAATAACCATTGACACAAATTGAAAATTATTAAGATTTAGGTAATGTTTCTTTAGGGACAGATGCAATATTTCACAGGAACATACATAATACACTTTTAAATGTGCTTGCCCAAAAAGACAATATAAAGGCCTTATGGTGCAGTCATTTGCACATTTACCTACTTACTTTATACGACTACCAACATGACGATAAAATATTATAATATTCTAGATGTTTGTCAAATCAGCTTGAAATCCATCCGACAACGACCAACTGACGGTCTTTTGGGCATGATAATCAACCTGACTTTTTTATGCATCACGGCAACATCCATCTTATTAATATTAATTCTATTTTTCGAGATTAATGGAGACATTGATAAACTGGCTAAAGCTGCTGAGTCTTTGAGTACTTATAGTCAAGTAAGCCATATTTCTTGAGTCATATTAGTATATTTCAATTTAAATGAATAAAACAAATGAAAAAATAATTATTGTAGGTTTTCATCAAAATGGTACCTTTACTACTGCATCGTAAGCGCATTGCAAACCTCTTTAAGATTACCAGACACTTCTGGAATCCAGAGGACTTTCCAGATGTCCTGCCTACTGCAGAAAGAATATACAAAAACACCTATTATTTTCTCTCCGGCTACCTAGTATTAATATACCTCACTTTGGTGATTTTCTACGTTCAACCATTTTTTAAGCTAGAATTGATGATGGTTTGCCATGTACCGGAGCAGATACCATATGCATTTTGGATAATACTAATTCTTCAATACCCTACGGCGTTTATGTCGGCATCGTCGATGGGTGGCTTTGATACCATGTATGTTGCTTTCTTTACGCACTTGGTGGTTCAACTGAAGTGCTTGAACAGCGCCATTAGAAACATGAAAGTTGATAGTCACGATTTTAATAAGACTTTGAAGAAAAATATTGACCATCATCGATTTATCCTGGCGTAAAGTATGATGATACTTAAAAAAAAGATTGTTATAATGAATTTTATTATAGCATTGCTCAAGAATTGATGGATATTGTTGCAATTCCTTTGTTGGGGTTGTATATATTCGTAACTTTTTTGACGTGCATGGAGTTGTATTTACTTTCTGACAGGTATTACTAATTATCCTTTCTATTTACAATTTAAATAATAATTAAACATAACACCACATTTGTTTTAATTTTCAGCTTTGGAAGTCCAATGAGACTTATTCTAAGTGCTTGCTATTCCTTGGCATTATTGTTTCAGTTTGCTTGTTACTGTTTTTCAGCAACTGAGTTCACTGAAGAGGTTTTAAGAATTACTAAGTAAACTACTACTTTTGTTTATGTAATTATATGAAATTCTAGGCAAGGCTTTTAAGTGAAAGTGCATACGCCAGCAAGTGGTATGATGGCACACCAAGTCAACAAAAAATGATAGGATATGTTATGATGAGAGCCGAGAAAGAATTCAAGTGCACTGCTGCAGATTTAGTCGAAATCAATCTGCGTGCATTCATGAACGTATGCATAACAAATTTAATGATTTTGTTATTAATTAATTATAGCATTTTGCAGGTAATAAAAACATCAGTATCTTTTTATACTTTGATGAAACAATTTAAAGAAGCGTAAATTGTCAGGGTTCATTTTTGCACGCTGAGCACTCGATTATTATGATCCACAGACGAATGAAGATATAATTAAAATTCACATAAATTAATTAGGAATTAAGCATTAGTTTTTGTTGCAAATTATTTTTAGGAGCAATTGAGGTATTTCACTTCGAGGGTTCACTCTTAAAAATGGAAGATATATTTTCGACTTATTCTTTAAGTTTAATGTAAAGCAAATTATGTAGATAAACTTTAATATTTCAATAACAGTAGTGCAATGTTCACCGCCAACACGTACGTCTACGTCGCCGCAATCGTAAAATTATTTGTACAAAAGTTTCTTAAAAAGTGTTCTCATATTTCATCGATTTGGCACTCGCACATAGAAAGTTTATGTTAACACATACTCGGGTCGTCACTTGAGTTCTGCAACAAACCATGCAATTTAATATAACCCGTGTTTGCTGTTTTAATACAGCAGAAAACGACAAAACAAATAAATATTTATAGCAGTACTATAGATAAAATTATATAAAGTCTTACTGGATTTAAATTGGGATGCATAATGGGCGGCACGTTGTTGGTAAGAAAATCTGGATCTGCGAGGTGAGACTGTGAAAGCTGGTCGGTGAGATCCATCGTGCCCTCCTCGAGAACAGTGATTATCAACCACATCGGATCACCAAAGTACGAGCCAGTGGCCGTGCGTAGTCGCCACTTGCTCTGGTATGTTCCGGGTTTGCTAGGGCTAACCATCTCGATGGTAATTGGGGCACCTTCACCAGGCTGCAGGCAGCCAACCAACTGCACGCCGCCAGTGAATGGGTTCGAGTCCGCGCATTGTGCGTGACATCCCGATGGCCATGGTTCGGTTCCATTGTTGTATACGTTCCACGTTTTTCGAAAACTACAAACAAATTAATTCTACAAGATATACTAATTATATCTTTATTATTACCTTGTATTAGGCTCAATATTCTCATTTTCACTCGCATGGGGATCGGAAGCTAACGCCATTGAAGGTAATTTGCTGGAGTGTTCAATGTCAAAGTATGAACAAACTGCACCTTGTAAATTCCTTTAAAAAACATATTCTATTACAACCCTGTAATAAAAACTGTAACCAAAACAATTACCAATTATTCATATCAAGAAAAAATGCAGCTGAACTATAATTCAATTGAGGTCCAATGACTTTTTGCAACTGTGATACAAGCTCTTCTTTGTCCGATGTACCCATACAGCTGAATTGCTGCAGGAGGGATTGCTCAATCTCAACACCACCAGCATTCTCCATCTGATCATTGTTTGTATTATCTATGTCCATTGTATGAACTTTTCTCTGCTCTTTGCCAGCTGAAACCTTCCAAAATTCTCCTGTTAGTTACATTTCATGCATAGCCAAAGCCCGCAACCAAAGCCACTGCAACAAAATGTGTTTTAAAAATAGCAGAATCACACAAAGACCACACCAGAAAACAAAAAATAAATGCAGTCACTTAATATAAATCACATTGTGTTGATGAAGATGAGAAGTTTGAGCATGAGCATGGCTTTTTGATTGTTAACAATGAATCAGAGCTGAAGAAAGATGAAACTTACTTCAATAAAATGCACGGATTCAAGCGAATTATGAGTATTGCGCTCACCGTTCGGCCATCAATTACTGGGCGATGTACGCTGATCAGAAATGTACGCTAATGTCGAGTAATGTTTTGATAAGATTAGTGTCGTCGTCGTGCACGACATTGACAATGACGTGCTGCGATCTGCGATGCACTGGAGGCACGCCAGACGCGCCAGACGTGTGTCGTGTGTGTTGTTTTGTAGGTTCATGCATGCGGAGCGTAGAACAGTGGTTCACAAAGATTGGGGACAAGAATAAAATTCACTTTAAATGGGTTAAATCAAACGAAATTGAATAAATCAAGACGAGAAAAATCTAAAAAATATTAAATGCATCAGATATGCACACAGTCATATCGCGAATTGGGTTATTCCATGAATTCGCGAGTCAGTATTACTGTTTAAACATTTCTAGAGTAATACTTCATTTTATGCGCACATATTCACCTTAGCAGGACAATTATATCAAAAATATTAAAATAAACAAAAAAGAGGAATTTGTACACTATTTCTTTTTTTTTGCCATTGATCCTCTGATTAGTTGATGAATTGTTGGTGTTAACTCCAAAATGTCAGTCCAAGTGACTAGATTAATACTCGAATTTTTATTCTCAATGAACTTGCCTGAAATCATGGCAAGGTATTATATTCAGCACATATTGTAAATATTGACCAAAATCATTTATCACACAAACAATTATTTATTGTTACCAGATGTCTATCTTCTCTTTCGAGTTGAATTTATCAATTTTTAAATACGAGTAATGTGCAGTTTATAAATAAAAATAAAATTGTATGGGGATGTTTTAATTTTTAACTTGGGCGATTTGATTGTGTTGTGCTTTGCATAGGTACACCCCCATCGATAAAAGCTCGTCGCGAACGTTTAGAAAATCATTCGCCAGTTGCTCATCCGCGAGTAAACATCGTGGTTTCCATGTTACCAACATTCTTCGAACGCTCGTGAAAAGCTACACTGCAACTTTAAACGGATAATCTGTGGTTTGTACAGGTACTTGTACTTTTATAATTGGTTTATAACTTAGTAATAATTATTATTCACCACATTGCACAAATATAATAATAATTAAAACTTATCTTACGTTAGCTTATTCTTATTTAGTAGAAGAAAAAAAAAACTATAGGCAACCATAATTACAAATAATTGAATTATTTATACTGAATTATTAACTTAAATTGTGTAAAATAATATATCACAATCCTTTTTGCGTTAATCTTAGTCCAATTGATTGTTTGTGTGTAATTAGTTCTGTTTTTGTATAAGATTGTTATTAGCGAGTATACTTGGTTATCCAATTATTAAACTTTTCTTGTCCACTGTTTGAATTTTCCATGATGGCGTCGCGGTCGCTGTCACTTGTTTCAATTGTTTAAATAACTTACCCGTCGCCGCCAACTGTCGACAAATCAATTGCGGCTTTCTCATTCGTCTCACACAAAATAACAAATTCTATTAAGTCGGTTGCTGCCGAATCGGTGCCAAATGAATAACACGAATATAAACAACAGTACTGATGTGAACATCATCGGGGAAACCGAAACTTTTGCACCGAATAACGCGTATGCTAGTGTCGCGCCAGTGTCCGCCGCCGAGGCGTTTGCACGATCGTGCGAAGAAATTAAAGCCTTTTGTCCACAAGAGGATGATGACGAGGACGATAAATTGCTTGCGATCCCTCCGCCAGCGCAAGATGACCAACCGGAATGTGATTTGAAAATCGCCGGATTACGAGCGAAAATTGCTTCGAAGCTCAATGTCGGCTCAAGTTTGCCTCAAATCGCAATTAAAGCAAAAGTCGCTCAGAGTACAAACGCGAATGATACCGAGGTATGTAACAACTAAACATCAAAATCGAGTTTGTTTTACATTCGTACGCACCGCACATGCTTTATTTTATTTGTATTGCATCAATAGATTGAAAGTAAAATGGCAGCCATCTTAAATTTTCTGATTGGATTTTATTTTATTGTTTAATATTAAGATTGCGCTCTTGAATGGTGACTGGGATATATTAAGTACGGTTCCGACTATTGTTGCCGAAATGCACAACGTAAATCTGGAAGAGCTTTTGGTTTTAAAAGAAATTACCACGTCTATTTCAAACGACAACAATCCCACAGACTGCAGGGGTACCGGACTTGGCGGAAAACAAATGAAACTTGAAGGTGTTTTGGATCATTCTACTGGAGGATTTACATCGATGATGACTCATGCAGGATCGTCCAACGTCCCCGTCTTCAAGGACACATCTAGTCCTTTGGGATCTGACAGTGGCATTGAAGGTGATTCTACTGACGGAAATCTTTCATGGTTATTAAATTATAAGATTAATGAACTTCCACCGGTACCTGGTATGTTGCAAAATTTTAATCAGCCGCGTTGAATAATATTTTTTCTTGTAATTGATTTAGACCAGCAACACAATCCATCCACTCACACTCTTCCCATAGTACAAAATGTGGTACCTTCAACAGACATTTCCAAGCAAATGTCTGCGGATCCTAACGTTCAATATCAAGCTATAGACGAGCACGGTAACATGGTTAATGTGCCGAATAAGGGATACGCAACGGTTCCTGTAATTCAAACCAACCAGACCACGCAACCTTATCAGTTTGTGTCTAACAATCCTCCGACTGGAGTGGCTAAATACTCGGGTCCCAGAAAGCCGCCCTTTACCTACACAGAACTCATCGAACACGCCTTGGTAGAAAAACGAGAATTGACAGTATCGGGGATATATCAGTGGATTTCGTAAGTAATAATAATTTTATTTTAAAATGTTTGTATGTGTTTGTGGGGTTGATTTTACTGTGGGTGCTTTTGCCACTGATTTGTTTTCGTTGTGGTGCCTGTGGGAAAATTACGTTTCGCATGCACCAACCGCGCGGTTTTCCTTCACGAAGTTTTACCTTGATCGTGGTTACAGTGTGTAATGATCGGTAAATCGTGTGCGCGGTGCCTGGCACCGACTTCGCGAAGTGAAACCGTGAACGACGACACGAAAAAAAGAACGCGATCACACCACTACACCCATCGGCACATGGGGTGGTGGTGTGATTTCAGCCCTAACGTCTTGCAAAGACAAAATCAAGCCAAGCCGCCCATCGTTTAACGGCAATCGTGAGGCTACCATAGGGTAAACTCAGAGGGTAGGTTTAAATTTGAAATGAAGCAGCTGGGGGAATATTCCACAGTACTGTGGAGTAATTAGTTGATAGGTGGGTAGTTAAATGGCCTGTCCTCGTGGTGCATCCGGTCTCGCAAGACCACCACCCCTTTTTGGGCGATGGGCGCGCGGATGTCGAGGAAATTTCCGGATTGCAGCCGGGGTGGAGAATGCGAGGCGGTGCCAGGTACCGGGCGGCGGCGTGCCGCAGGTGAAGTCATAATCGACGACGCGAAACGGAACGAATTTCGATGAACGCGAGGCCTGAACACTGCCGTTCATGCTTTCAATACGAAGAGCTATAAATTTCCCTTTTTAATATGCTCGATTAGTCGGAGGCGAGCTCATGAAAGGGGGATGTCGTCATGTTGTGCATTCAATTGAATACTGCTTGAGATATTGCGGGTGGAGAACATGCACCTGTCTGGGAATAATGTATTGGAAAAATTATAATTGTCATTTTCGATTTGGTTTCGAAAGCGATTTTTTTAGGCTTAACGTGACAAAACGCAATAAAACATGCTTTGGTTATATTTCTGTTAGTTTCAAAAAAAAAAAGAGAAATGTAATATTTGTTTTATTTTGCAGAGATCATTTTCCATTCTATAAACAAAACGACGATAGGTGGAAAAATTCCGTGAGACACAACTTGTCCATCAACCCGCACTTTAGAAAAGGCAGCAAAGCAGTGCATGGCGCTGGTCATCTTTGGACAATTGCCCAAAAAGACGAGCATCACTCATGGCAAATTGTATGGTCATCCTTATTTGCATATATATGAATTAAACTGTTTTTTGTTTGTTTGTAGAAACGTCAAAAAATGCAACAATTTATTAAAACCAGCCACGGCGAAGGTTCCAATGAGAAACTGCAAGAAATCGAGTTGGCTAATGCTACCGCCAGCATTTTACCTTCTGATTCAGATTCTTCCAGTCAATCACATTCGAAACGAATGCAGCCCAAAAATGTCGCCATCGAATACGTCATCGATATGTCTGGCGGTCTCGGCGGTAAGTACCTGTACGATTTTTGAGCCCTGCAAGATCCCGACGATTCGGAAAACCTAGGAAATGAATTTAATTTTTAACTGAATGCGATTATATTGTCCTTCTCCCTCTTGCAATTAGTGATCGAATTTGTTCTCCCCTCTGTCAATAATTATTACTAATGATTTTTTTATAAATGAGTACTAATTGTGTTTTCTACTCTTAATCTCACGCAATGTGCCCGGATCAACAGTGGTGTCTCTAGGTGTGTTACAATTTTTTTTTTCCTACTTTGATTGTATCAAAGTTTTACTTGATATAAGTATTAAGTTGTGATTAGACAAAATAATTATAAGTTTTTTTTGTGTCCGTTCGGCGACCGAAGAGCAAGTAGTAGAGGAATGCGGCCTTACCGGGGACTACCTCATCACTGACCTGCATCCAGCTGCATTGGGCCTCAATATGAGCGAGGGGGAGATTCTTAACGCCGACAATCTCTACGATGATCTCAATTTTCCCACCTACGAGCTCCAGGGAGAATGAAAAATTATTCCGTCCACCGCAAATCTTAATGAGTTGAGATGCTGAAAATGTAAATGATAAGATTTTATGTCAATAAGTGGATTGAGTGCTCTGTGTGACGTTCGTTGTTTCGTATTTTATTACAAGTTTTAAGAATCCGCAAAGTATTTTTAGTCTAACATCGTAAAAAAGCAATAAGAAGTCTAGTCGAGATTTGTATAAAATCAGCAATTTACTAACATTTAAATTTATGATTGCCTCAATAAGAAAGCATTCTATAAAAGTTTAAGATATTTGAGATTACTGTAAGTGCACATACATATCACATTTCTCACATGTTTGTATAAAAAACAAAATGCTCCAATATGATAGCATTAATTTTAACAATAATTGAACACTTTGATTCCATTCATTTAAAGTTACATATAAGTATTTTGTTAGTTAATAAAAAACAAATCGTTTTCAATTACATACAAGATATATGGAGAATTGTACTTATTTTTTGAAACATACTTGTAAAAGCTGAGAAAGTATTCTCCTGGCTGATGAGGATACTTTCCTAACATAAAATAACATTACACCTTCTTCTTACATCTTGGACGGAATAATCAGTTTTGATCATGGATATATTCAATTCTTTGATTAGATTGATTTAGAGTATTCTTTGTACAAACATAGCCACTGCACCAATGGTTACCATAAAGAGTGATGGACTGATAAATGATGAGTCATTGCATCTGTGATCCAAAAAGCAGAAGCAAAACTCTGCATCATCATAGTAATCCCTGAAAATTGATTTTAATTTAAATTTCCTGTCTTATTAATAGAAATTAAATATACATTAAGTTAATGTTTAAGACATACCTGTGAATGTCCAACTCTTTTATACTGTTGTTTACATAATGTCCTAGTTTAACATCAGTGGCTGCTTTCCTGCATCCTTCATAAGTGTCAGCAGGAATATCAGTTCTAATACCACGTAATGAACTCAAACAAGCTCTAGTTATAACTTTCTCAGATCCTTTTCGCTCAGTAATGCGAACACAGATATCATTGTCCTCCTTGCAAACATTTGTCCACAAATATATCCAATTGAAAGGATCACCGCAGCCGGGTTGTGTGCTCACACATTCGTAACACCATAATGCGTACGCTGAAATTTATTTGAAGAATAATAATTAATGTTAACTTAACCACACCCAATGGTTAACTCACCTTGTTTTATTGAGAATGCTAGTAAGCAGCAAGAAATTAATGCCGTTTTGATATACATTTGAATTGTGATGGTTGGGACTAATTAAATTTTAAATTTAATTGTTTTATCTTGGGCTGTGATAACGATTTAGTTGTAAATAAACAAGATAACACGACTGTATAGTGAAGTAAACGAAGTAAACACTGATATGCGTCATGTGTTAGCAAGTCATACTATATGGTTTGTTGTATTTTGTGTAGATGGCGCTAGGTATATTGAGTGGGGAAAATAATGAACACCTTCATGTTTGTTATTTATTGTTAACTAGCCTTTGCATCCGACTTTGTCCATGTTGTTTTTAGTAAATATATGATCAATTTTTACTTTCTTGGACCTAGTATGTGTCAATTCTGTCAATAAGATCTGCAATTTTATTTAAAAAAATAAAACATGCTACAATTTTCATTTCTTATTTAACCTTCCTTTAACTAATAATTTTCAGTATTTTAATAGTTATTCTGCTATAATGGGTCAAAACAAATCCAAAAAATTATATACATATTATCTATATCTGTCCGACATTCTTAAGTTATAAATGCCCTAACTAACTTTGTTTTGTGTATATGGATAATTTAAATATTATATAAATAAAATATGACGTTGTTACCTATAAACTATTAAAACTACATCCTCAACATTAGTTTAAAGATAAAAACATATAAATTTGAAAGATTTGTTAAATGCTATTTGTTGAAACTTAATTATCCATGTTATTTAAACACGCATGATAATTATCGATTGTAGGCAATACTTTCCAAATTCATTGCATGTCACGTTCATTCTCGTTCATTGTTGCTGGCCATTCAGAAAACGACAACAAAAGCCCGAAGACCCGCGGCCGCGGACACGCGGACAGTTATTAACGACCAAACGAGCTCGCCGCCGATGCTAATTTATTGCCGCCGCGTGCTAACGCAAAGACCTCCGAGCGATTGCACCGTGTACTGGGTTTCGCAATCATCGACATCCACATCCCTATTGGACCAGGTGTGTTCTCCAAACGCCAAATGCACAAAAGCAAACAAACAAATGAAAACTCAAACAGAAATGTGCATGATATTGCGACAGTGGCCGATATACTTCAACATTGTTCGTTATACGAGTATTAATTGTGAATTGCCTCAAGCTCAGGTAATGTAAAAATTTCAATATCTAATGAATCTTGTTTTATGCGTTGCGTACATAAAAACCCGAAAAAAGAAGAATTTAAGCTTTATATGAAAGGAAATGATAACATAATTACGAAATATATAGCGAATAATTGGTTTTTCATTGTTCAAAAGTAATAATTAAAATATCAGCTAATAATAAAATATAATTGGCAATTACTGATAAAATTACCTTCATAATGTTGATTAATCTTAATTAAACATCAACATTCTCCCTGTCAGAATATTTTTTTGGAAAACTTTTCTACTTTGTAGTGAATTTTGTTAAATACTCGTATGTTGAAATATCGTACGGTTTGAAAAAGAGAATAGTACCTATTGTAATGCGTGTCTAGTACCAAATGCCAAGCCTAATTAACGTTATCAACGCGTTGTCGTGCAACATCCTGTGGGTCGTAACGATGTTAATTTATCAAAGCGAAAACGAAAGTACAAGTACATCGAGCGGAATTAACCGGTTAACTTTAGATACTTAGCGTCGAAGAGAAAACCGCTCACGAACGAAAAGTGTTCGAAATGTTCGAACAGTTGGGACGCGAAGAGATAACAATGAAAACAGAGTCGTGCGAGTGAAATTACACCAAAGGACAAGACCGGACAAGAGACGACATTGCTTTTCAATTAAACACACCAACAACGCCACAGTTTGATGGCTTTCAATGAGAAAACGCAAAATAAAAGAAAGAAGGGATTCAAGGCAAATGTTAAAAAATTTCAGTATGGATTTGTTTACTTTAGAATCACAACGTATTTTTGTTTTAGCTGAAAAGAATAAAATCAATAATAATTTACGAAAAAATGCAGTTATCAAGAAGTTTATTTGTGTTTTTTGCAATATTTCAAGTGCACTTTAACTATAATAAGTGCTTAACTATAAGAGTAGACCAACCAAAAGATGTCTACAAAGAGAAACAAATAGATAAAAATAAAGCTAAAAAATCAGTTGAAACTTTATACTCAATTGAAAACGATTTTAATCGCGTTAAACATCATCATGATGGATACGAATATTATGTGCCCGAAAAGTATGTGAAGCCTCATCCAGAAAATCTTGGTTTAGAAAACGTGGGAGAAGTGAATTCTTTTCAACAATTGCAACATGAACATCAGCAACCGCATCCTCATCATAAATATCAACAGCAAATTTTGACTATTAGTAAGTTTTAATTAAAAATTTGTCTGATAATTCTTTTTTTAATTCTCCTTGACTGTTGCAGATCCGGCTCAGTTGCTAGCGCAACAGGAGCATGTATTACGCGCTGGTCTGGCAACAAACCCCCTGCTAGCGGCGCTTGTTCTAAGCCAGTCTCTAGGAATACCATCGGCGGGGGCGGCTAGTGGCTTCAATCATCCGGCGCATCTTCCAATCAATCCCTACGTTGCTTTGTTGCTATCTCACTACGGACGTTATATTCAGCCGGCGGCAATACTCGGGCGGCATCAGCGAGGAATTTACGGATATGCAGCTGCCAATAACTATCACAACAATAAACCGTTTGGTTCATACAAAATATACGAAGATGCTAAGTGATATTGACATTAATTTACTTGTCTTTTCAATTTTAATCATTGCATACAACCCAGAATAAATTTTACTTTTGTATTTTTATAAATAATTTAATTTTCCTTGCATTGCTCGTTAGTTAATTCAGAGGAGAACAATTTTATCTCTGCGTCCAGATGAAAACAACGTAATGCCACGCATTATGCACGTTAATGCACGATTTCCGCGTTCGTTGTGCAAGTTAACAACGTTAGCATTAGCGCGATCGCGGCGAACGAGACGTTTAACGAGGGCCCTTTTAAATGTTCTTTTCATTCGGAATCGTCTTTTTCATCACCGCTACTGCCGTCGTCGCTGAGTTGGTTGCGAGCGCTTCATCAGTCCCGATAGAAATCTCAATGCGCTTTGCATTATTACCGAGGATATCTTATTTCGCAGCCGGAAAACTTTTCACATTTCACATTTTCACGTTTATGAACGTAGACTTCCTATTTTCTTGGAGATATAGCGCTTTGGAAGAATAGTTAAAACGAATGTAAGTTATATAGCAAGTTTTATTCGCGCAGTTAGAGTAAATTGCGATGAGTTGGCGATACTTTCTTCTAATTTTGATGAGTTTTAAACTTGGGGTTGTTCAATATAATTGTAAGTCATGATTGTGACGTGTACAGAGTTGATTGAACCATATTTATTATTTAATTATATAATACCGGAGATCACAGATACAGCCCAAATTAAAAAGAGCATAGAACTAAAGAGAACTTGACAACTAGACGATTCAGACACAACTTAGTACTATGTTAGGTAGTAAATGAAAAAAACACAGGCACTATGGCACAGGCACAGGCACTATGTTCGGTGCGCGCTGTCTTCTTATACCTAAGGACGACCCGCAAAATGAAGCGGGGGTAATGAGCTGGCCGAACAAACTGCAGATACCTGTAACTACACGTAATTTGTTCTTTCGCTTTTCAGCAGTTTCGGAATTGAAAAGGAGATATTCTTGTAGAAAAAAGGATAATTTAAAAATTGTGCAAAAATTAAAATTCATAGGAAAGATAATTATGGCTTATCATATTACAAAAATAAATATTATTTGTCACATTTGTTTAAAAGTTCTAAATAGGTATCCAGAAAAAGATAAAATAAATATTTAAATGATGTGCTTTTCAACTTTATTAAACTGCGCACGTTCGGTACATTTTCATTTTCATCTTCATCTCCTATTATTATTCAGTTGGAAAACTTTATTAATCGCTTCTAATTCCGACTCATCCGAGTTGCTTTTCCAGTCCCGCTCTCGCTAATTACGAACTCGTGAACAGAGTGCGGAAGCTAGCGCATTTAGGTATTACAAAAAACAAGAAACTTTGGCGCCTGCTCGTCCTATCTGTACACTGTCGACCTGCAGTTTCATGCACGTCCAAAGTTAAATGACAAACATGAAAAGAAAGACTAAAAGAATTAGTTAATAACTAATTCTCTATATATTTATACAGAATTGGTTTATTTTAGAATCAAATAGCATATTTTATCTTTAACGAATACCGTTTAATAATTGTTTTTGTCATATCCGTTTGCAGATGAAAAACGGTTTGTAATATCCTAACAATTCTATTAAAAACTCATCTGCGCGACAGACTTTGGAACATTTCTCAACTGTTCCAACCTTCAGCCTATGAAAAACTGCCAGATAAGGGAACAAGACAGAAGAATGAGAGAAGCGTTAAAAATCAGGAAAGTTTGCACGAAGAAAAAGTTCTCTGGCGAAACGTAATGCACTTTTAAGACTTTGCCGACGACAAAGGCTGAATTTTAAGTGTTGAAATTTAATCTATCTTTAGAAAATTTTATTACAAGTAATATTTTCAAGTAGATTATTTAAAACTAAACTAACTGCTATGATATCAATTATAAATTAAATATTTTCAGAATATTGTCAAATATGAACAAATTAGAAAAATTAAAGAAAAATAAATATGGATAGGATAAGATGAAATGTTTCATATTATCTAAACTCATTAAAATTAACTTATGAACTCATTGAGCATACATCGCAATAAGCATAATCATTGAATATGGAAGTGAGATGCTACAAAATGAAAAAGTTAATGGTGCATCAGAGATTAAACAAAAGAATAGTATTCACTCGGTAGATTATTGAAAAACAAACATAATTAGTGTCTCTTAAAACATACTTTCAGTAAAATTCAATTCTGTAATGTAGACTTAAGTAATTATCACACAACTACACAAATTACGAACTTTTACATACTTTCTCAAGTACTTTTATTAATATTTATTAATGTCACGAAAGTTCTATTGTTTAATACATCGTCTATCCATTTCAGAACTTAGACTTAGTCATACATTATCAATATAAACATGTATAAAAAGGCATCGGTAAAAGATTTCGTCTACAGTGCAAAATTATTCATGGCATTCTATTGGTTCGATACTGGCTATATGCAAAACATCCGACGAGAAATGTTCATTT